GTGTTCCCTCTCTCACTGTCTCTCGCTCTGTCAAATAAACAAATAAAATCTTTAAAATAAATAAATAAATAAAATAAATTGCCTCAGCATTGCTCTTTTAGAATTTGGATACTGAGACCAATACTGAAACAAAGTAATTCATAGTTATATAAAGTGATCAAATTAAAACAGTCCAACTTCACTGTACTAGAAGTATAATTGGTTTTATTTCAAGTTGTAGAAGAGTAAAGAAAAACAGTACATAGTGCACTGCAGGCTGAGTGAACTGAGGCCGCATTTTCGTTTGCTTTCTCCGTCAGGGTGGCATTCACTTGGAGATTAACTCACAGTGAAGAGACATAATCTAGGTTCTGGTTTCTCAAAGTATGGACTCCAGCTCATCATTGGGATCGCCTTGTGCCTGTTGGGAAGGCAGAATCTCAGGTGCCATCTCAGGCCTACTAAATCAGAATCTGTCTCTTACTAATGTTCCCTGGTGATTCATAAGTACATCAAAGTTTCCAAAGCCTAATCTAGGTGACTATTAAAAAAACCCAAAAGAAAAACAAATGACACAAAAGGAACTTGTAAAACTGAGATATAAATGCCCATTAGTCATATTTCTAAAAAGCTTAATCATACAAGTAATACAAGTAAATTAAAATAATAATAAATTTACATCGTAAGGCTCTGAAGATATATAGTAAAGCTATGTCTGGAAGGTGAAATTAAAGGAGGCTTAAATTTTCTTCTCAACATTGTAGGGTGTCTCTTTGGTGTGTTTTATGTCAATACCCAGTTAACAATAGAAAAATGGTTAAATAAATTAAGGTATATTTATGCCAATAGACATCATCTTTTAAAATAATATAAACTGAAGTCAGAATAGGGGATGCCTGGGTGGCTCAGTCAGTTAAGCAGCTGCCTTCAGCTCAGGTCATGATCCCAGGGTCCTGGGATCGAGTCCCACATCGGGCCCCTTGCTCAGTGGGGAGCCTGCTTCTCTCTTTCTCTCTGCCTGCCACTGCCCCTGCTTATGTGTGCTCACTCTCTGACAAATAAATAAAATCTTAAAAAAAAAAAAGAAAGAAAATAGTCAAAACAAATTCCTCAGTAGAAAAAAAAAATCAAACCGCAAGAGAATGAAAATTACTATTTTACATTAAAAACTCATATACCAATATATATGAGAAAAAAGAGTATCATAATGACATACAATGGTTATAATAAGTAGCGTGATAAAAGAATAATGTGGGGCTGATTTACTTTATTTCTAAATTTTCCAAGTTCTCTACATTAAGCATGTATTATTTATGTAGAAAGAAATATTATTTTTAAAAGATCCTTAATCCAATTTTACACAGTTCCTACAATTCCCTTAGTTATTCTGGTTTTATGGTATTGCTTAGAACGAGGTTCCAAAACAGGTATTACTTGTCAATGCCTCTGCTTCTTTTAATTCAAATCAACTTTAAAGCATTGTAGTCTTCTAGACAAATAACTAACTTAATTTTATAAGGTTCGTCTTTCTCACCACATGATTATATTAATACTTTGGACCCACCACTAGATTTGACCTAATCTCATCTAAAGATGAATTTACTCACCACGATGCAATGGTCAGTAAGGAGAATAAATGATGCCAGGGGATCAAATCTGAGATGAATATCCTCTTGAACAGAAAATAGGTGGTGAACACTCTTACTTCTTCCAGCAGAATCCTAGTTATAAGCACAGCAGTGATTCTCATGCACATTTACATGTATAATGTTCCAAGATTAAGTTCCAGTAATATCTGTCCGTTATCTCTGAATAGCTGTATTTTTTTCATTTATTTTTGCTTCTTCCTATAAGCACTTTAAATATAACTTCTTTTAAACCCTGTAATTCTAGATTTGAACTGGAAATATCAGCATGTACTCACAATATATTTCCTCTTAAAGAAAAATTTGTATTTTCCCTCTCTCTGCTCACTGAAAAGGCCTAAAAATAGTAACAAACCCAAGATCAAGGGGCTAGCTGGGCTACTGCCCAGACTGTACCCTCAAAATAAAATTTCTCATTACAAGATCAGTGCTCTTTAGAGAAATAGCTGATTCCAGTTCTTGAACAAGAAATACACAAGAAGAGCTTGAAATATCTTCATACCAGAAAGCAAGAACACTTAACAAAGACTACTGGGATTATATCGAAAGATTTAGTGGCCAATTTGGAGAGGCTCCCACTAGCCAAAGGTGGGACAATTTGAGCATTAAAAATATAAATGCCATGGATTGAAACATACCAAATATATATATAATTTTTAAATTTTGAATTCATAATGATACTAAAAATAAAAGATTCATTTGGTTGCCTTTGGCAGATGCTAGAGAAGCAACTCATTATTCTGAAAATTGGTTTAGAAAAGGGAAGGTGGGGGAAGAATTAAGAATTTATCCCACTTTTCCTGTATGAACTTCTCTATCTGGGTGCCAAATAGATAAGGGAATTTTTTTCTTTATGGTACTATTCTAATTAATACTCCTTTTACAAGGAGTGCAAATTTGAATACCACCATTGTACAACTCTAATGAAATAATGGACCTAGGCCAAGACCATCAATAGCTGCTGGAAATCCTTCAGTGAAAAGCTGATTGGGTACTTCATAATGAATGGAGGGAAATGCCAGCAGTATGCTGGAGCTGGCTTGACAGGCTCACAAAAGCCAATCGTTAAATTTTCAGGAATTTTGCAGGCCAGTTGATACGTTGGTAGCTTAAAACCAGCTATGGTAAAAATATTTATACTATGGAAATTGGTATAAATCAGGGAAACACTACAAATCAGGGTTCCCCCTTCAAACCTGTCCCAAGCTGGTGGATAGATATTTACCACCACACCAATGGATAAAGTTAACAACACCTGAATACAATGATCAATCCTAACATTACTAAAAGAGAGACAACCAGATATCACAAACTTCTGATAAGAGCATAAAACACCAAATGAAGTATTCCTGCCAAAAACAGACTCAAATCTGATCAAACTCTTAATCTAACTACCAGTTATAGAAACTAGAGGGGGTGGAGGAACATGCTGAAGGATACAACATGAATTTAAACAACATAAATCTAGAATACAGGAAACTCTACAGGATAAAAGATCCAGTTTCCAAAGTTATCTAAAAAATAAATTGCAATGAAAAAAAAAAGGACAGGGAACCTGTAGATTAAAAGATACTGAAGAGACAGATCAGCTACATGCAGTATTTGAGCCTTGTCTGGATTCTGATTTGAACCAACCACATGCATGTCATATATATATATATATATGACTAATTAGGAAAACTGAATACTAGCTAGTTTGATATTAAGGAATTACGATTGATTTTCCAGGTGTGTGATGGTATTATGGTTACATTTTTAAAAAATAGTTCTTTTAGGGATACATACTGTCATATTACAGATGGAATGACATCGTGGTGCAGGGGTATAGATGAAACAAAATTGGTCATGAGTTGGTAACTGTTGAAGTCGGCTAATGGGTACATGGGAATTCATTATAGTATTATCTCTTGCACATAATTTTAAAGTTTCCCATCATATAAAAGTAAAAAATAACAAAAAAGAATTTATACTTGTTTTTATCAGACTTTTATTGCTCAAAATGTTATTTTAAGTTGTTTGTTCTTGTTTTAAAGCAGAGTTTTTCTTTAATTTATAGATATAGAGATATAGAGATTTAGAGATATAGAGATTTCTGGAGTCTGCTCTTTCAGTTGGCAAAGTAGGCACAATAATCTAAAGTTCTGGTTCTCAAACTTTAGTGCACATCAGAACTACCTGGATGGACTGTTGAAACAAGATTGCTGGGTCCCAACTCCAGAGTTTCTGATGCAGAAGTTTGGTATGGGACCTGACAGTTTACATTTCTAACAAGTTCCTGGGTGATGCTGATGCTACTAATTCAGGAACCACACTGAAAATTGATCTAAAGGTCTAGTTGCTACTAGGCTGCTCAGAACTATAGACATTCAATAAAAATAGTGAGCGGGTAAAATATAAGACAATAAATTGATGTCTCTCACAGATTTTTCTCAGACTTATCTATAGTATACTGTATTTAAAAGACTAGAACTTGGGGCACCTGGGTGGCTCAGTTGGTTAAGCATCTGCCTTTGGGTCAGGTCATGATCCCAGGATCCTGGGATCGAGCCTGACATCGGGCTCCCTGCTCAGCGGGGAGTCTGCTTCTCCCTCTCCCTCTGCCCCTGCTCATGCTCGTGCTCTCTCACTCACTCTCTCCTCAAATAAATAAATAATCTTTAAAAATAAAAATAAAAGAATAGAACTTTCCCATTGACGAATGAAGGGACCAAGTTCCCTATTTAATGTTCAGTAGACTAATCTTTTAAAGTTATACATATATAGAAGAAAACAGGTCAGTGGTTTCCTGGACATGAGGGTGGAAGGAAGACAGCTGCAAAAGAACACAAGAAAACTTTTGAGGTGATAGACTATATTGATTGTAGTAATGGGCAAGGATATATATATGTCAAAATTCACCGAATTATACTCTTTAAATATGTAGTTTTTTTGTATGTAAATTATACCTCAATAATGTAAGAAATGTTAAACATGTAAAAAGTATATGTGATTTCACATTTTTACTAGGATTTAACGAAGCAGTCAGAAATGTTTCAAGGAACATGAGCTAAGTTTTTTTTTTTTCTCATAAAATTATAGAAGCTGGGGTTTTGAGGCAATCCAAGGATTTGGGAGTTCCCCATTCCTACAGCGAGCAGGTCTCCTATGATTGCTCCCACTTCCTCCTCATAACTGTAAAGATAGGGAATAATTTATTCTAGGTGCACTTGTACCTTCAGGTTTTCTTTCAATGATCCAACTTCTGATAGAAGGGATATTAAGAGTTCATCCCCAGTCATAATTCCTTTCACATCCTCCCCGAGTTTCTTCTTCCTCCAAAGCAGAACACTTCAAAGATGGGTGGCATTGCAAAGTGCCTTTTCTTCCTTCCTCATCTATGAACTGGGGATAAAACTACCTACCATAAAGGATTGTTATATGGATTAAGTAAAAAATTCTAAGTGTCTAGCATTTCCTTAGAAGGAGCTCAGTAAACAGCTCCTTCCTACTCAAAATCCTTCTCTGTCCCACACACACACACACACACACACACAAGATAATGAAAATAATTACATGTGTTTTCTGAAGGATTACTTGGTAATCTTCAAACTTAAGACTTAACAGTAGAAGATGAAATAGTTAAAAACTGTCATCAAATCATAAAGTTGTGGCAATCGATAGATTTTTTTTTCAGAAACTAAGTCCTGAGCACAGTATCTCCTAAAGAATTTCACAATATTGACGAAAATGTCCTATTTTGGTAATGAATGAACACTTGCTACTCTGGCAGGTGCTAGTGAATTAAATGCCCCCAAGCTGAATTGGAATAGCAGGCAGACTGTTACTACATATGCTATCAGTGCATACTCCCCAAACAAAAAAATTCTCTGGGATGCCTTGAAAATACTCTATCCTACAGCTTTCAAAATAGTGACACAATTTTCCTGTACTTGGAGAAAGCAAGCAAAGGCATGGGTACATAAATACATATTTTCTGACTTATTCTATTATCTTTGGGTATGTTGGGGAATTTGCTGCCATTATTAAAAGACTCTAGCCAAAGTTGAAAGACAATAAAAGAATGATTCCCTGGGGCTCAAAAAGAGGGGACTGTGGCCAGTAGTTACACACTGAGAAGTCTAGTTTTTTGTCTAACAGAATGACTCCTCTGAGTGCTCATTTCCTGAATATACTAAATCCAGTGTATTCAAGTTTTGTTGTTGGTTTTTTTTTAAGATTTTATTTATTTATTGGGAGAGAGAGAGAGAGAGCCAGGGAAGGGGGTGGGGAGGAGCAGAGAAAGAGGGAGAGGGACAAGCAGACTCCACATGGAGCACAGAATCTGACACGGGGTTCAATCGCACAAAACCCTGAGATCATGACCTGAGCCGAAATCAAGAGTTAGATGCTCAACTGACTGAGCCACCCAGGTGCCCCTCAAATTTTTAATTAACTTAGTTTCATCTCTATCAATTGACTGAAAAAAAAACAAAAACAAAAACCCACAGCAGAGTTTAGTGTAGTTACAGCCAAATCCTTTATATAGCAAGTTGAAAATTACTAACTTACCTGGACAGTTACTTCTATGTTATGTGTCCTGTTACTATAGTTTCTTGGGTTCCACTTCAGTATGAAAATAGGACCAGATAAATGAATAGCTTGCCCTAAATGAACTCCATCAATCGTAACTGTGACAGAAGTAATGGAGGATAAGGAAAAGGCCAAGACTCTAAAATGAGAACATACATACGCATGTGGTTTTAGATATTTTCACTGTTTTTAGAAAGGAGAATAACTCTATTATAACCTAAAAAAAATATAAATGTAGGCAGAACCATCACACTGTATAACTGTTTATATGACCACTACTCATGATCTGGTTTCTTTCTGAATGGTGGCTTTTGGAGTTCCATAATTTAGCAAACCTAAGTTGGTGAGAAATTAGAAACTATTTTTGCACTTTTTAGAAAGGAAAATCAATTTTCTTTTGACAAATAAAGCTAGAGTAGATCCAAAGTTCTTTCTGATAAGTCCTGATTTTTCATATAGGAAAAGAACACTGGTTAGACATCTTACTTTGTTAATCTCATGTTAATCCTACCATCCACTCATTTGTTTCCCAA